TCTTCAATACTCAACAAAATTGAGTGATTCAAAAATGAAAATCATACTTCTCAATGAGATGGAAAGAATGGTACCTTTTAGATGGCTAATTCGCCGTAGTTTGACCAGAAAACAGTTCAAAAGTGGCTAAGACGGCCACTTTCGAGCCATTTTTCGGCCAAATCATGGCGATTTAGCCATCAAGAAAGGCATCATTCTCTTCGTCTCGTCAAGAAGTATGATTTTCATTTTTGAATCACTCAATTTTGTTGAGTATTGAAAAAGTTATGAATATTTAAAGTTTACCCAGTTTCCGATGAGTTTTCCAGTTTTCCTGCGGACCAGTCACCTTTCAGTTTATTTTCCGGCCATCTCCGGCAACCATTGGCCTTCCAAATAGGTATAATCTTGTTCTACACTTTCCTATCTTCATTTTGATATATTATAGGTCGAATTTGGTTAAGAAATGATTGAGTTACAAAGCTTTAAAAATTACCAAAACTTCTGATCAAGAGCTATGTGACACTTAACAGAGCTTTTAACGGAATGACCAAAATGATGGATGGTATAACCATGCAAATCTCAAAGATCATTTTGGCTAAAAAAACACTTTGTTTTAGATTCAAACATATCATTTCTTTTTCTTTTTAGTGTAGCTTCAAATATTCATATTGCTAAGGGTAACCAAAACATAAATGCTTCTTGCGCACTTGTAACGTGATATATACGTAGATGCTTTCTTGTTAAATGATTACATCTAAACAGTTTAATAACATAATATGCAAATCAATAATGTGAAAAATCTAAGAAAGAGACAATGGTAGTTTGCAAAAGAAGAAAAATATAAGGAAAACTAATGAAAATAGTTTAAAAGTTTTGAGTTTTAACGATAAGGACAAAATAAAGGGTAAAGTGAATAGTATCAGATTGGACTTTTTAATATAAAAATATGATTTTTCGTTAAAACGAACAGTATCACAAACTTTTCGTTAAAACCACCTAAAGATAAGAAAGCCAAAACAAGAAACACGATTTTGATGAAGCAGAGATGAAAATGTTGCTGTGAGATGTTAGGTTTGTGTGAGTATGTGCCAATAATTTTGCATATAAATCCGAAAAAAACCCACTGAAACTGAACCAAACCGTCATATGCCCATACTGCCATATACAGGCATGCAGCCATACACCATCACATGTGAAATGTGAATATACATGCATGATTCTCCAGCTGCCCGTCAAAGTCGTCCTCGTTTCTCCTGCCACGTGTCAGTATGCATAAGTTTTAAAAAAACTCCAGATACTCTTTTTAAATGTTGGAAACTTTAATGAAAAACTCCAAATACTGTTCATTAAAAAAAAAAAAACTATATTTTTACACTAAAAAGTTAATTCTGATACTATTTATTTTATCCTTATATTTAAAACTCAAATTTTCAAATCTTTTTAATTAGTTTTTTTTTTAAATGTTTTGTTCGGATCTCTGATCACCCCCCTGCAACCGTGGTCCGTAGAGCCTGATACACAAGTTGTTGTTGGCTCATCTTGCAAGCAAGCACATAAGTAAAGGTGAAAGGAGTAGATGAGCATTCTCTCTATAGAAAATATGAATATTCTATCAATATTTTCATTCTCATTTATTGGTTTGTTGTTCTCAGTTTAGATGCTCTTTCCATCCCCTTATATTTTGTGCGGTCACGGTTAAGTTACGTCAGCATTTTATATTAATTTTTTAATAGAGATAATAAGACAAAAAAAAATAAAAATATAAAATGTTGATGTGGCTTAACCGTGACCGTACAAATATGAAAGAATGAAAAAAACACCCAAACAGGAGGGCGGACGATCTGCCTCCCTCATTTATTGGTTTGTTGTTCTCAGTGCAATATTGTACAAAGAATCGAACTGTCTAATTTTTATATTACTCTTTAAATATTATTTACAAACCTTAATTAAATGTAGAACTTGAAAACATCTAACAATTATTCAATAGATAGATGAACCGTGTTTCTCACTCTAATACTAAAATGTTGACCACATTAATCAAACGGGTAAAGAATTTCTACTTTGGTTAGAAATTAGACTCTTCCAATAATCAAGACACGTTGAAGAATAAAAAAATAATAATCAGGAAGGTAATAAAAAAAATTCAATTGAAAAGGTTGTTAGCATCCCCATAAATATTTACCATCCATAGAAATAAATCCTCTATTGTCAAACAAAAATGTATTTACTCTTGATGGAGTAATTATATATGAATGCGCAGTCTCACTTAACAATCTAATAATATATCGAAATCATCGTTTAATAATATAGTAACACTATTTAAATATATAACATGTTTGTTTCTCATACAAATAGGGCTTTCACCTCTATTAAGGAGTATGTGGACAATTTTATATATCTAAATAGCATTATTGTTAATAATATATATTACTGATGTCGTTTGGTAATGTGCAATTTTGATTAACGGTCTAACATCATACACTCGCTAACTTAAAAGACAAATTGTGGTTGGAAGCCAGTTGAAATTAAATTTGGTTAATTTTTTTTATTACAAGCGGTATCATTAAATTAATATATACTATAGTGAGTGCTTAAATATGAAAAACAACGAGTTAAAAAGAAGAAATCTATCCATAAAAACAACCGATCACTTACAAATTATGTCAACAATTCGATTCCTATAACTTGTAACAACCATTACCATAACATATAAAATAATAGTCTTACATTGCATGTTTATTTTAGTATAATATTATGTACAATCTCAGTTAAAAACTGTCACATCCCCGCCCGGGGATCACTTCTCGGGCCCGCTCTATCACCATAGCATGATATTATCCGCTTTGGACCCCCAGCAAACCCTCACGGTTTTGTTTCTGGGAACTCATACGAGAACTTCCCAGTGGGTCACCCATCATGGGAATGCTCTCGCGTACTACTCGCTTAACTTCGGAGTTCCCATGGAACCCGAAGCTAGTGAGCTCCCAGAAGGCCTCGTCCTAGGTAGGGATGAGAATATACATTTAAGGATTACTCCCCTGGGCGATGTGGGATGTTACAATCCACCCCCCTTAGGAGCCTGATGTCCTCGTCGGCACACACGCGGCCAGGGTTAGGCTTTGATACCAAATGTCACATCCTGGCCCGGGACGGATCACTTCCCAGGCCCGCTCCACCACCATAGCACGATATTATCCGCTTTGAGCCCCCAGCACGCCCTCACGGTTTTGTTTTTGGGAACTCAAACGAGAACTTCCCAGTGGATCACCCATCATGGGAATGCTCTCGCACGCTACTCGCTTAACTTCAGAGCTCACATGGAACCCGAAACCAGTGAGCTCCTAGAATGCCTCGTCCTAGGTAGGGATGAGAATATACATTTAAGGATCACTCTCCTGAACGATATGGGATGTTACAAAAACTCTTACCATAATAAGCTATTAAAGCAAACACAAATTATCAAACAGAAGTCATTGGTTGCAGCCAGTTAAACTTTAAAAAAATCCTACTAGACTTTAGTTTATTGATTATGCTACTAAATTAGTAAATTAGTAACCCAAAGCTTGACCCAATTAGTTACTTGCTAATTAAACTTTTGCTTCTCGTTAATCAAAGTTTTATTATAATTATATGCAAGGGAATGGTAAGCCGAGGGGAAACAGACAAGTACTTTTGGGAAGGTACACTGAGCTTCCCATCAATCGCTGTCTGATTAGACAGTGGCTGATGGATGGAGCTCGACGACGGAACAGCATGGCAGCATGGCAGCATTGCAGCAGCAGCAGTCCTCCACTATCATCATGATCATCATGTGACGAATCCAACGCATCCAACACATCATGTTTGTGTTATGGGGGCCACCCTCCTTCATCTTCTGCTCTGTTTGTAATTTTTTTTTTGGTGATTCTCTTTCTTCCCTTCTTTCCTGTGATAAGACGCAGACCTGAATTTCTGTTCGAAGTGTCAACGCCGTTAGATTTTCTCCAAAATGTAAAGTTGTTAGCTTGTCTTTGTCAACACCTTCTACACTTTGTTTCTTCCTCTTCTCATTTTACCCGATATACACAGAATTTACAGTCCATATTTCAAAACCACTCCCATTTTATTTATTTTTTGAATTGATTTTCGCACCGTTTTTGTTAGTCTGTCGCATATGTTTATTTATTTATAATTATCAGATTAAATAAATAAAAGAATTGTTATTTGCACTCTAAAAATCTCATTCTACACTTCAAACTTTCTATATTATGAAAGAAAAATACACTTGAAAGAAATGTATAATGAAATTTTTGAAGTGCCAATAACACTTCCCAAAAATAATAGATAAAATTAAGGAAGAGAAACAAATGTGTTTGCTTATACTCTCCATTTTTTTTTCTAGCTTTGGAAATGATTAGAGTGATTTATATACTCTCTTTTATCTTCTTCAAATCTCTACCTTAATTACGACTCTTGATTTGTTTTGAAACAAATCATTAAAGAGAGTACATAAATCACTTTTTTAATGACAGTAGGGAGAATTAATGAAAAAAAATAAAAGTAAAGAAAAAGGAGACATGAAATGTGAAAAACACTAATCACTGCTATTTACATGTAATAACTCGTTATCTTTAGGGGAAAAGTATTTCTTGAATATAACCCTAGGACATATGCATTAAAAACTATCTTTTTTTTCGGGGTCAACTATCTATGTATTGTTAATTTATACAAAATTTTCTTTTCTATTCATATTTTAATTTCAATTTTAATAGAAACACTCTGAAGGTCTGAACTTTGAAATTTGATCTCATCGCATTAGAGAGAATCAAATCAATGATTCTTTTATCTTTGTAAACAGTGGCTACTAGAAACAGTGTTGAAGATTGCAGATTTCCACTAGCCCTACTCATTTAGGTGGACCTACCACCCAAAACATCCATGATGTCAATCACATTGAAGAAAAATTTGTACAAAGATGATGAGCAGAGCCCATGAACAATTCTGATCAAATAAAAATAAGAGAGGATTTGGAATTGAAATTATGAGAGAAAATGGGCAGAGAGAGAGATGTGGCCTCCCCTTCTCTTTTCATCTTATTTTTGCTTCTGCAACTTATAAACATATATAAACATCCTCATAAAAAACAGAGACAGCAGAGCAGAGCAGAGCATTATCTCCTCTCCCTCCACTTACATCCCCATCTCCTCCCCTAATTACTTTAAATATATTATCTATAAATACTCCCTATTCTTAATTAAACCCTAATTAACTTGGATTAAAAGGTAAGATGATCAAAGATGGAAAAAAAAAGGAGAAATTAAAAAGCATTTCCATGTATAATATGGCATCAGATCTTAGAACCATTAACTGCAATCACCAGAACCACGACAAACTCAGCAAATTAACCCAAATCAGCAGCTGCAGGACCAATTTTCAGTCAATTGTTCGTTTTTTATTTTTCACATCACATTGCAACTTGAGGTGTTCTCATCACTGAAGAAGTGAGTGTATGGTTCACCAGCTGGAGGAGGAGCGTATGGGTATGGATATGGCGCCGGTGGGCCGGGGGGCATGTAGTTGACAGCAGGTGGTGGCCTAGCATACATCATTGGTTGGAACCTCTCATTGCCCATTGCCCTTTGCTGGTTCATCACAGCCTGCAAGTATTGTTGTTGTTGGTAGGGGTTACCGGGCATGGCCTCAGGCCCAGCTCCTTGGAAGTACCCTCCGCCGGCGCCTCCTCCACCACCGCCATTCATGGCACCCGCCGGAAGGCCTTGAACAGCTGGAATGTTGCCCATTTGGCTCATAGGCATGCTGCCCATTGGCCCCATTCCCATGTTCATGTTGCCCATCTGACCCACACTAACTCCAGGCATGCCCTGAGGACGCCCACCCATGTTCTGAAAAGCATTGTTCATAGCTTGAACTTCACTCATTCCTCCTCCGCCGCCACCACCACCTTTTTTACCCCCATTGCCATTGTTCATGCTCCCATTAGGACCCCCTTGACCACTGTTTCCATTCTTGGCATTTCCCCCACCACCATTTTTGCCATCCAATGGAGAGCCCCCACTTTTGCCTCCATTCTTTCCACCCCCGCCTCCTTGATTGTGGTGTTGGTCTCCACCACCGGCACCGCCCTTCTTTCCTGCACTTCCATTTTTACCCTCATTGTTCCCACCACCAACAGGCACAGGCCCACCACCACCTCCTCCTCCCTTCTTCCCATTAACCACAGCACCACCTCCATTCTGGGCACCACCATTCCCGCCACCACCCTTTTGGGCGGCGGCATTCATCATCTGAGGATGGTTCCCCTTCATCATCTCATTCATCATCCCCATGTTCGGAGGCATCCCCTGGCCGCCATTGCCCATCACCACAGGCTTCCCCTTTGTGTGAGGATGATGGGGCTCATCCATGTCATATTCAAACTCATCGTCGTCATAGTCATAGTCATCATCGTCATCAAGGTCATCGTACTCATCGTCACTCAAATCCTCTTCCTCCGGTATGTTGAACTTCACCGCCTTCTGGTTCGGGTTCGGGTTCGGGTCCTTGAAACTAAGGGGCATTTGCATGCCCTTCAATTGTGGCAGCTTCACATCTTGGAACCCCTTCATTTGCTGGAGTTGCTGCAGCTGGAGTTGCTGCTGGAGTTGCTGCAGTTGCTGCTGCTTGAGTTGCTGCAATTGCTGCTGCTGAAGCTGCTGGTTCTGCTGCTGCTGAAGCTGCTGGTTCTGCTGCTGCTGAAGCTGCTGGTTCTGCTGCTGAAGCTGCTGGTTCTGCTGCTGCGGTTTCTGGCCGCCTTGTTGGCCGCTCTTTGGCTGGTTGTTAGCACCGCCGCCACCACCATTCTGCCCGCCTTTACCGCCATTGTTTCCACCCTTGCCATTTTCAATTTGCATGTTCTTGAACTGATTAGGGAGGTTGCTCTGGTTGTTGTTTGCCTTCGGAGCGCCCCAAAGCACTGCATATTTGCCGGATTTTGCAAGCTTCTTAATCAGAATAGCAGGGTCCACATTTCCGGAGACCGTCACCTTCCCCTGCTCTGAATCTATGTCGGTGGTGAAAACCCCTGTTCAAAAATTAAAACCCAAAATTAACCAACAAAATTTCAGAAAAAGATGCAAACTTTGATATTCGTATCACACAAAACCAAAAGGGGAAATGTGATTCATCACAAAGAAACATTTTTGTGACCGAATTTAAAATATGGGTTGAAATGGAGCATACCATCGATTTTCTGCAGAATTTTCTTTACTTTGTGTTTACATCCATCACAGTGGATGTTCACTTTGAGAACACATTTCTGCATGTACAGATAACCCAAAGAATACAGCAGAGTAAAAAGAAATATTCACAAAGGTGAATAAAAAAATAAAAGTAAAAAAAATAGAGACATTTGAGTTCAAATGAAGCAAAGAATTAATAACAAGAGAGTGAAAGAGTGTACCTGGATCTTCAAGAACTCTTCTTTACTCATAATCACAGCTCAAATGCAACAAATTAACACAAGGTTACAACTAATAGATCTAACAAACAGAAGCTACAGAAAACAGAGAGAGAGAGAGAGAGAGAGGGAGGTGAAATTACAGGAGCTACGGAAAATGGGTTGTTTCCCGTTTCTTTTGGGGACTTTTTCCTAGCAAAGAACACAAAGAGAACAAATGGGTCTGCGTTTCTCTAAGCAGAGAAAGTTTAGAACCGACAAAGTTTCAGTCTTTGTAGAGAGAGAGCGAGAGAGACAGAGAGAGAGAGGAAGGGAGAGAGAGGAGCTCAGAAGAAGAGGTGGGTAGACATTAAACTCTAATGGGTATCTCTGCTTCCTGTATTTCAGGGTTAGAGAGAGAGAGAGAGAGAGAAAGAGGAGTGAGCTAAAACAGAGAGAGAGAGAGAGAGAGAATGGTCCCTCCTCCAAGGCGTTTTCTCACTCTTTATTTTTGGGGCTTTATTATTTACTGATATTATTGCTATTTTATTATTTCTCTGCTCTGCAATTTGGCTTGGCTCGGAAGCTAAAAGAGTGATGGAGAACTGAGGGAGGAGGTTGAGTGTTAAATAGTGATGGTGAATTGAAAAGGGTAAGATTTGGATTTAATCCTTGATAATTATTATCAGCGGATGCGGATGAAAACTGTGTCAGATTTTCCTCTCCCAAAAATGGGCGGTACAATAAATAACGCCATTAAATAAGACCTTCTCTTTCGTTTCGTGTATATGCTTTTGCTTTGTGGACGGGAAAAGCGAGAACTTGAACTTGGCAGAAACATTTTTACCTGACCACCTCTTTAAAATCGACTGGATTTTGAGGGTTTGAGTGAATCCAATGCCATTGAGTGAGTAAATTCCTCGCAACGTCAACTTCTTTTGACATAAATCAACCAATGGCAGGGATTTGTGGTGATGCAAGAGGTCTTAAAAGAAAACAAAATTCACACAAAAAATTTGAGAGGCATTTTATCAAATATATAATTGGGTAAAGTACAAAAAAATATCTCAATTATTGGTGTCACGACACTTTCATACCTCATCTTTTAAAATTGAAAATGGCATACCTCATCTTACGAATTTGTGTCAATGTCAGATCTCCGTCAGTTTTTCTGTTAAATGCTGACGTGGCTAGAAACGAGACCCATTTTTATTAAAAAAATTAAATAAATATTTTAAAAAAATTAATTAAGTATGAAAAATTAAAAAAAAAACAAAACAAAAAAGCAAAAAAAACCCATCAACCCGTGTCCCCCCTCCCCAAAAACCCAAATCCCCTTATCTGAGTTCTCTCCCACCCAACCCTCTCTCTCTCTTCTCTCTATCATCTCTCTCTCGCCACTCTTTCTTCTCTCTTCCTGCAACCTACATCCCTAAAATCCCAAAACCCAGAAATCATTCCCACCCGTCCCCCCCAACTTTCCTCTCCGATCCACCGACGACAACCCTACCTCTGTCGTTGACTCCAGCGATGACAGCCATGATCCCTAATCGCCCCCAAACCCTAATTCTAGCCACAACCTCCACAACAACATTCCCTTCTCTTCCTCGCCCTTGAAGTCTGCCCCTCCGGCGATTTGCGAGAGAAAAACAAAAAAATAACAACAACAACAATCCTAATAGAAAATCTCTCCGTTTTTCCCAGAAAATACCGAGATTTTCCTAGAAAATCAGAGGAGGCGTGAGAAACAAAGAGAGAGTTGTGATATGAGAGTGGCTCTCTTTGGTTTGAGTTTCTGATAAATGGTGTATATAGGCGGGTCGGATGAGGAGGAGAGAGTGGAGGTGAAGTCCATGGCGATGGGTTATGAGAGGGCGAAGCCTCTACACAATTTCAACTTGTCGTGGTATTTGAAGTGGGGGAACCAGAAGCACCTGTGGTGCCAGAATGAGAGCTCCGAAGCCAACGGCTGTGGCGGGGAAGGGTCTGGGGTTAGTCGGCGATTGTCGGCTCAGAGGATTGAGAGCTCGCTGGCGGTGATGACTCGGGTGGGAATGGTTTCTGGGTTTTGGGATTTTAGGGATACAGGTTGTAGGGAGAGAGAAGAGAGAAAGAGAGTGAGAGAGAGGGTTGGGTAAGGGAGAACTCAGAGAAGGGGATATGGATTTTTGGGGAGGGGGGACACGGGTTGATGGGTTTTTTTTGGTTTATTGTTTTTTTTTTAATTTAATTTTTTAATATATAATTAATTTTTTTAATAAAAATGGGTCCCGTTTATGGCCACGTCAACATTTAACAAAAAAAGTAACAGAAAAACTGACAGACGTCTGACATTGGCACAAATTCGTAAGATGAGGTATGACATTGTCAATTTTAAAAGATGAGGTATGAAAGTGTTGTAACACCAATAGTTGAGGTAGTTTTTTGTACTTTACCCTATATAATTTGCTTTTGGCTTTAAGAAAAACTCAAATATTGAGTTTAAATTATGTAATTTAGCCAGAGGAAGGCCATTAGACTAATCTTAGAGACATACATGGGTGAGATGAAATTGATGATGATAAGTTCAAACTGCAATGTTATATAAAAAATAGAGACTGACTTCAATACTTCTATGTAAAAATTAATAGGAAATAAAGTTAACCGTAAATTTAATATTGAAATACGTCTTGCACTTATAGTTAGGGTAAACAAGTTTTGAATTAGAGTCAATCCATGTCAAGATTCTAAAAGGCGCTAGGAGCTAGTCAGACAGCGAACTGTGGCCTAACGCCTAGGTGTCTAGGTACCCTTTCTTATTTTTTTAAATGCCTGAGGATTAATTGTAGTGGTGGCTAGCCACTTAATGCTTAGGCAGAGACTTTTAGAAGATTGATCCATGCTCTTGATGAAAAAATAGAATAAGAGCTCCCCAACCCTTTCCCAGCTAGAGAAATCTTGTTCTGGAGACTGGTCGTATTACCTGAAAAATCATGGAAGCGCACTTAATCCCCTCACTACGACTACAGAGGTAGAGCACGATTTCCTCTATTCCATATTAAGTTTAATCGGATGTTACAATATATACATAATCATATCCTAACTCAAAAAAGATTACATACTAATTCGACTTACACGTATTATAAAGTTTATGATTGGATTCTACACAATTAAGTACACATCAAGTGTACTGCAAACACATTACATTGTAAACTCTAAACCCAACACATTTCATTTAATTTGGTCAACTTGTACAGTGAAAATACTCATATACAATGTAACATCAAAATACATCACTAGAGACTAAAAAAGAAAACCGACCTTAAAAAGAAATATATTTAAATTGATAAACAAAATCTTACTACCTCTTAAAGGTGTACATAAGAAGATAATTATGGTAAAAAGATTACCACCTATTGAGGATTTAACGCGTGTACATAAGAAGCTCGAGTTGACACATTTCAAGAGGCGTGGTCTTGAAATTTTCGCTTAGCAGAGAAGATACATATGTCGAGGTCATATGCTCGCTACATATAGTACATCACAACATGCCGTTTTTCTTAGCAATGATATTAAGTCAAAACGGCTTGGCAAAGCTCACACCATTCAAATATAGCTAGACGTAATGAACAATTACCCCATCATGGTTGTCTTTGGGTGAATAATTAACATTGGGATGAATTCATTAAAAGCCCAGGCCTGCAAATGCTTCTTGGCTATAGTTAGTTGAAGCACATGCCCAAACAGATTTAAATATCATTTTTGGCAGCTAATAGACAGCAAGCCTATGATAAAAGTGACAAGGGGTCGAGGGCAACTTACCCTCGGTAAAAAGTACTTTTCTGTGGCATGGGTAGGTAAATAACAAAACCAGATGATGACTCACCTTGCTTCATAAGCTATCACTAAAAATGGAAGGCTTGGACACTTGGGCAAGAAAGTCTATAAAAGCAACAAGGAATGTAGAAGAAAAGACTCTCAACGCACTCAACTCTGAACTTAACAGCAAAAAACGAAATAGCTTTATTGTAACATCTCACATTGACCAATGAAGAGGCAGTGATGTGCCTTACATGTACATGCCCACCTTCATTTAGCATGAGGCCTTTTGGGAGTTTATTGGCTTCGGAGTTCATCGGAACTCCAAAGTTAAGCGAGTTCGCACGAGAGCAATCTCATAATGGGCGACCTACTGGGAAGTTGTCGTTTGAGTTTCTAGAAACAAAATCGTGAGGGCGTGGCCGAGGCCCAAAGCAGACAATATCGTGCCACGACAAAGCTGAGACTAGGATGTGACAGAATGGTATCAGAGCCACTCTACCGTGTGGTGCAAGTGTGCCGACGAGGACGTTGAGCCCCTGAAGGGGTGGATTGTACATCCTACATTGACCAACAGATAGAGGGTAATGTGCCTTCTATGTACATGCCCACCTCCATTTAGCACAAGGCCTTTTGAGAGCTCACTGGCTTCAGAGTTCCTTGGAACTCCAAAGTTAAGCGAGTTCGCACGAGAGCAATCTCAGGATGGGTGACCCATTGGGAAGTTCTCGTCTGAGTTCCCAGAAACAAAACCGTGAGGGCGTGGCCGGGGCCCAAAGTGGACAATATCGTGTTACGGCGGAGCCAAGACTGGGATGTGACAGAATGGTATCAGCGCTCTGCCGTGTGGTGCGAGTGTGTCGACGAGGATGTTGAGCCCCTAAGGGGGTGGATTGTAACATCCCACATTGACCATCGGAGAGGGGGTGATGTGCCTTATATGTACATATCCACCTCCATTTAGCACGAGGCCTTTTGGGAGCTCATTAGGTTTGGAGTTCATTGGAAATTCAAAGTTAAACGAGTTCGCGCGAGAGCAATCTCAGGATGGGTGACGCACTGGGAAGCTCTCGTCTGAGTTCCCATAAACAAAACCGTGAGGGCGTGGCCGGGGTCCAAAGTGGACAATATCGTGTTATGGCGAAGTCGAGACTGGGATGTGACATTTATTTTGTCTACCTCTTTCTTTTCAAGCATTAGGACCACTGTAGAAAAGCTCTTTTTTGTCAATTTTTAGAAGCTCTGCTACGATTTTCTTTTTGTAGTATTGAATCCCTTTTGTAAACCTTGGTTATATTCTACTTTCCAAAAATATATGTTTTGTAAAACACAAGGAGAATGGTCTGTGAGGAGACAAACCTTGCCCGCCAAGGTTGTAACCTTGCTCTAATCTCCTACATTTGCATTTATATACAGTAGATCTAACTTTTATGCATCTTATTTGGTCTTTATGTTCTTTTCCATTGCTTATTGTGGGGTTTTTTGTATATTTAATCCTATCAAACTAACTACTCTTATTTCTATATTGTTAATAAAAGTTGATCGCTGAGGAAAGCACCTAATTAAACATGAACTCCCTTATGAATGGACATACGATATTCAAATAAAAATCCTTGTTTACAAGGCAAGAAAAAGAACTTGATATAGACTTAACCCATCTGTAAACAATCCCAACGAATCAAGAAGTCTAAATGACTTGCAGCGCAAGCAACTAACGAATCTAATAACCAAAAAGATAATATGTTGAACAAAGATAACAATGGCATGCTCAGATCTATATTAGTTTTGATTGTGAGCTTTGGAGCCTAATAAATGCCCCATAAAGGCACCATTCAAACTAATTCTACACTTATGCTGCAGTCAATCAAGCAACGAACTTTGCCCGACAGGCAAGACAGAGGGAGTTGTGCGAGGGACAATCTAGCCCGAACAAGTTGAATAAGGAATGATCCTGCATAATCAACAACAAGATAATAAGGGTAATGCTAAAGAGACTAAATTTGTAGACTAGATCGTGGCTTAATTATAACCATGTTGGTTATACTCAATGTGGTTCTAAAACAAGACTATTAATTGGCACTTATTGTCACGTCTCCCAATGTCAAACGCATGATGCCTTCATGGGTTGGATTACAAAATTCAAAACTGACAATCACGTAACGCCATGCGTGTCTTAGTGAATCACCTTCAAATTTAAAATTGCCACTACATAAATACTTAGTCATCGACCTTTAAGATGTAATTATTCATGTACCAAGAAATTTAGAGCTTACATATTTATTTAATCTACTACATCTATCTTAGGGATTATAGAACTTGGTTCACACCACATAGTTGTGACAAATCTAACTTGTCTATCCTTTTCTTAGTTGCAAAGACAGTCGAGTAAATTATACGCGTGTGTAAAAATCATTCTCCACAATAACAGTTCAAAATCATTATGAATTTGAAACAATATTTTATTTTCAAATACATAAACAAATGTAAATAAAAATTGTTTAGAAAATTGAATCAATTGGTAAACTGGACTAACGAAGAAAATTCTGAAATTGCTCTATTAATCCAAAATTTTAGATACTGTTTTTAAATGCCATTAATTGATAAAAAGAACATAAAAGTATGTGAAAGAGACTAGCTTAAATTCCACAATCCAATTGCTAATCCCCCATGCAAAAATATCATATTCCCAAATGGTGGAAATAATTCGACGAAAAAAAAAAAAAAAAAAAAAACTGTTATTAGCATTCCAAAAATCTCATTCTACACTCCTCTTAAGTGTATTTTTTTCTTCTAATTATAGAAAATTTGGAGTGCCAAATGAGATTTTTGGAGTGCTAATAACGATTTCCAAAAAAAAAATGATGGAAATGAAAAGAGTGTAAGTATCCTTTTCTACATGTATCATTCATTCTCCCCAAAATTGTTTGCTAGTTGATGCACCAATTGGGCTAAGGGTTTGGTTCAATGGAAGCTCCATTATTTATGAAATGTGGGAAAATATGGGGGAAAAGGAAAAAGTGAAAGAAGCTTTTTACAATATAAACTACCTAAGATTTTGGTATTTTCCACAAAAGCAGTGATCCGTGGTGAAGAAATTGTGAGTATTGGCTGTCACAGAAGTTTTTTAAAGAAAAATAGGTAGCTGTAGATCAAGTTAACAGCAATTAGGCAGAAGAAAGCTACTGCAGAGGGCCACAAGCAAAGTCCTCTCCTCCTCCTCCTCCATTGATGCAGATGAACCATGCTTTGCTTGCTTCCGGGTAGGTTTTTTCATGAGTTTTGGACACTTGTTTCATGAGGTTACCAATCATTGATGTCCTTAGAAGCCTGACGATGAGGTGAGAGAGGTGACAATAAAACAAAACCCTAGTGGCTTTTTTCCCCCTTAAGCTTTTGCTTTTTACCCCTTTGGAGGGGTAACTTTACTAGTAAAAGGATGTTTGAACGGTGAGAAAAGGTACCTAAACCAAATGGCTTAGTTTCCGGTTCTAATTCAAACGAAGAGGATTGCTTTTGAAGCATTGATTGTGTTTTTGAGGTGACTTGTGGATTAGGTAAAGGTTTGAACTAAACCATTGACAAAAGTGACACTCATAAACAGGCCAAGATCTGCCTTGTCATTGGTTGTAATCCCTGTTTCTCTGTCTCTCATATCATGAGACTTAGCTACGCTAGAATCCCTCATAAACAATGGAGATTGTGACCGGTTGTATATTCATTTGTGTATATTAATCTAATCATGTGAAATCTGTTTTGTAACTAGTTGTATATCTCTATCTCTAGTTGTATGTGTGCATATAACTACCTCTCATTACGCGGAATCTGCTTCGTAACCAATTGTGTATTTACATCATCAGTTGTATATCTGCTTATGTTTATCTCTCTCATGTGAATTCTGCCTTACAATCGGTTGTATACCCTCTTATGATGAGATAGATAGACAGACCCAAAAGAATATACAACTGGAAATAGCTAAGAATCTCAGGGAAAACATATAGAAAAAAGGGTGAAAACTATTGTGGGGTTTTCAATTTCCATTTAGCCTCCATACACAAAGAGACGGTGATCAACACGGCAACACTTGAAAGCAGAAAGGTCTAAAATACAATGGGGCCTTTCAACTTTGTTGAAATTTGAATGATGTCAAGCGGGTAGCTCAGTAGCCTCTCTTATAAATGTAACATAACATCATTTCAGCGTGAGGGTTTTAAAAAGGAATGACTTGGGCGGCCAAGCAATGCCATTGCCATTTATGCAGAATTTGTCACATGAAGCACCACATGGCCCTCTGCACAGAGAGAGAGAGATTTAAGGTCGTCATTTATTAGATTTTTGCCTGCAAACCAAAAAAATGCTTGCCAACCCACTTGCTCTCTGCAAACGCTTTTTACTCGTTTCAACCCTTGATTTTTGTGTGTGGGAAAATAATGGAGGGGTGGATGCTAAGAAGTTGACTTTTGACACAATGATTCGTCTGTAACTTGGAAAATTACCATAAAAATACAATGTGCTTCTGCAGATTATGTGAACGTAATAAGTAAGATTCTAACAATTTCGATCAGAAGTCCGTACGCAATGACAATAGTAATTAATGAAATTTGTCACAAAATTTCTTTGTTGTTCTTTTTCAAACCAGAAGAGAAAAAGGAAACCAATTCTTTGCACAAGTGTTTCGGAACGATATCAACAAGTTGCAGAAGTGAATATACATATATACAGTGCTTAACAGACTGCAACAGACAACATTATGAAGGATGCAGGATATACAGAGGAAAATGGGTGATCAATATAGGAGTTCTATGGCTCACATTTGGTGTAGGCAAATAGCAATGAATTATACAGAGGTACCCTTAAATGTAAGAATACAAGGTGACGAGGTAACGCATGAAGTTTTGTATGGTAACAACAAAACAGCTGGTGATTTCATAAACACTGCTTGGATAATCTAAGCGGGATATTACCAGCAATTTGTAATGTAGTTAAGGGAGGTTAATAAAGTAGGATTATGACACATACGAAATAAAGGACTCAGACCAAATACAGAAAGGATGTTCAATAAGATGCAAATTGTCCCACCTAAGCTTTATAGATTCTTAAGTTGTTCCTTTACACTCTAACTTCAACGGAAAACATTCCCTCCCAAACTTTTTCAGATGTATCCCAGAGTGAAAAAAGTACTTCCTTGAGACACACAGAATGTTTGTCCTTCTAGATGTCCCAACCTAGAATGTTCTTCATTCTCTTCCTTGAATCCATATGTACACATAAAGATATATGCATCGCATGTAAAGATATCATAGAGAATTGACTAAAGAAGCGGAAAGTTAACAAACACATGCCTCTCCCGCTTTCTTCTTCTCCCCCAAAAAAAGAAAATGGTGAGGAGTGTGGAGAAAAAAAGCATGGAAATTGATAACTTGTAAGGAAATACTGTAAACCTCATAAAATTCAAAAAGTTATTCAAACATCGCCTTGAATATGGAAAATGAAAAGATGAAGGCTCCTTAAATGTATACAAGCTTCAGAAAACAATCAAGGAAATCAAACCCACAGTTTTTACTTATTTGTTTTTTTTTTCTTAAATTCTAAACAAGTTGCCTGTAGAGGGAACCATTGAAGAGAGCTTGCGGTTTGCACACACCATGTGTATGTATAGTAGTTAAGAAATTTCAGTCTTTGAGGATCAAATTTGAATCATCTATGTAAAGATAGTCACATGAATATTAGAAAGCAACGTAGCAATTACAATATACAAAACAAAACAAACAAAAATGCCTTTATACAAGTGAAAACACACAGATAAAAAGAATTCGATAGTCATACCACAATCCACGTAGTATGGAGAAACAAGCATCTTCATTGCTCACTTTTATTTATCTTGATCTCTATAAGTTCCTCAATGGGTTGACGGCAGATAGGGCATTTATTGGATTGTATCCGCAATTCTTTTGCACAGTCAGTGCACATACACTGGAAAATACAAATGAAATGAGAATAAACAACTGTAGTCTTAAAAATTTAACCAAAGAAGCAGGATAACAAGAAATTTAACAGAAATCTAGTGTGGGACTATCGCAGATGCATTATTGGATGAGTCAAGCCCATCTGCTTGGATGAGTCTATTCACGACCACAAGAGACATCCTCGAGCACAATGGGCTTGAATCTTCCAGACCATCATTCTTTATAGATTTTCTAGCATATGGTATAAGTGCAGATTCTCCAGCATACTCTATGATAATTAGAACCCTCTCAATATAATTATGTATCTTAGACACATTCTCACCATATGTCGACAAGGTAACACAGCAGTGTCCTTAGGCTCAGTCATGCATATCACACATTCCTTCCCTGGTTCAGTGTCATCAAAGCTTTCCACTGTCGAGGTTCCTATTCCATATATCTCACGTAGCTCATACCGAACTTCATCAATCCACAGTATCTGCCTAATTACTTTCACTTGGAAATGGTCACCATTGTTCTTTTCCAGTACAGCTTGAGTAATCTGCATACGAGGGGAAGCATCTGGGGCAGGCTCACCAACATGCTCATCTGTTGAATCAGGTGACAAACATGTTTCAGCAGATATCACAAGGGGAAATACATCTTCTCCAGGTGATGGTTTTGAAAGATCATCCAACTCAAAGAAGCCTAAATCAATGCCTGTTCCTGAGGGCTGACGAAATTTTTGGCCAAGACCCTTCTGAAAGGGAACTCTCACCGGTATAAATGCTTCAGGAAATAGTGGAACAAACCTACACTCTGGCTCTTCCTTGGCAAAGTAGAAAACCGTGACGCTGTCAATAAGAAGACTTGATCAGAAAAAAGGAACGTGATATAGCCCTTAAGAAATGAAGACCACCTAACAATACTGTTAAGAAAATGGAAACTGTTACCAATAAACCATGGAGAACTAGCCATGGTCTTTACTGTTAGAAAATCATGACCGTGGCCAAATAGGCATGTGATGTAAGCAGAACCCACTTATTTTTTTCTATATACGGAAAACGCATAGGGTGAGTGCCATATACATGCACTACATATATAGCTGGCTCCACGCAAATGCTCAGCAGGAATATGCAGCAATCATAACACAAAATGTTTTACATAGTGCTACTTCTGGACAGTAACTCTTGCACTTAAGAATGCTAATCTCACATCAAATATATAGACAAAAGTGCAGACAAACTAAAGCGCCTACCAGCATGGTTTTCTGCATAACACAAGTAGCACTAACTCAAGAAAGTTGTATCCAAGCACTTTTGAAAAGCAAATTAAATATAATACTTCAATGAACAAGTCAGATATTTTATCATAAGTTCATAACTCTTTTTTATATGAGGATCAAAAGACTCAATTTACTGCTTCAAATTGCATTTTAACGTTTTTTATTTTTATTGTTATGTTTTTTTTCTCACACTGCTCAATTATAATTTGATATTTTTAAACCTCTAGACTGAAAGAAATGTGGATAAACAAGACATGGACTATAGCACCACTGGTACTAGAAACAGGGTGGACCAAATAATAAAGAGTTGCTTAAAAAAGAATTGCCTTACATGAAGCGCAAGAGCATATAGACTCAATTACAAAGATAAAACTGTTACTTTACATGATGATTTCTCAAAACCTATGAAATACTTGACGAAAGCTCTACGAAACAGTTTCAACATAGCTGCATCTTACTTTGGTAAAGATAATCAAATGTGAGAAGGTTCGGTTAGATGCCAGTATGACCCTCTTTTCTGTAGGATTAGTGAAGTATATCAAAGGTAGTATGACCTCCTAATCCAGAGTTTATCATGAAAAGCAGTAATCTGGAAAAACTGAAAGATAAGCTAGGCCCAAACAAGCGATTGCAGTAAATTATAGGGTTCTTTAGATATAGACCCTTGCAACTCTATTTTCTAGACAAGAACCCACCTAGATATATTCCTTCCTATTTCTACTTCCTCTTGAGAGCAGTGTTCAACAAACAAAAGCAAAAAAATTAAGCCTTTGTATATGATAGGGAACCTTCCTATGGGAGGAGGACCCATACCTTCTCAAGATAGAAAAAAAAAACCTAGAGCTTCAGGGTGCAGAGCTCAAATTTCTACCAAATAATTATACTTCACACACAAATGTGAAATTATTTGAATCATTGATTTGCCAGCGAACATTGACGGCCGTAGCTAATTTCTTGTTTATGTTCATATCTACCACTGTCATCCCCCAAGCGAGGAAACATATTAAAAGGCGAAATTCATGAGCTCCATTTGTTTTAAGAATTCCATCAACAATTACATCAGCTAAAGACTCAAATATAAGCATCAAGTAACAGTCGTTTCATAAGTCCCGCATCTTATTAAACTTTCATATGCTTAGATAATCAATATAATGGCAGTTTGAATTCAAATTGTTATGTATAACTCACAGAGTATTATCTCTTTACCCTTCTAATTGATCACATATGGGAACTTTATCCCACCTCCCCTAATTTCATCTGGTTCAGTACCATAGGAGCAACACTATCATTCCATTTTCATGGATATCGACAATGAATTCGAAAGCAGCATCATATTTCTCTTCCCTTATATCTCATTAACACGCACACTCTCTGCCTATTAATTGCTACGGAAATTCCATCTCGGCTAACTCAAATTCTTAAACTTAAGCTTATACTATTAAAGGTTTAATATTCTCAGGTCCTAAATGCCGATAACTTTGAGATCGAAACCCCATCCCATTTCTTGTCCACAACACTCAGCATGAATACAAAGAAAAGAATCTATCACAAGCTACAAGCTTCAAACATAGACATAGACATAGACATAGAACAATTCAAGAAGCAAAACAAATACAAAGAAAAGAATCCCAATTTGCTCACCTCCCATCATACATGGCGTCAAAAACGAAAGACACTAAATGCTGATCAGGGTTCAGCTCATCAATCTCAAGCCTCAACGTGTCCTTACGCACGTTGACATCGTTCTTAACCTTCTTGGCGTTCTGATGCTCAACGTAAGGCGGCGGAGGCGGAGGCGGAGGCCGAACTGCGGGCCACCCATTACTCTGACTGGCACCATAATTATAAGGCCGCTGGTAATTGTAATTGTAATTGTAACTGAAGCGCCCCATCATGGAATTCCCATGGTTGCAGGAGTTGTATTGGCCGTAGCTGTAATGGGTTTGCGGCGGCGGAGGCGGGAAAGGAAGAGGGTGGGTGGGGTAAGGAGCTCTGGGCTGCGGTCCTTGTGGAGTGTAAGGCGTGGCGGAATTGGCATATGGGTGGTTATTATTTGAAGTAAAAGAAAAAGAGGAAGAAGAAGAAGAGGCAGAAACCAGAGGACCAGGTGGCGGTGGAGGAGGAGGTGGAGGTGGAGGTGGAGGTGGAGGTGGCGGTGGCGGTGGCGGTGGAGAAAGAGAGGCATGTTCTGATGAGTAATAAGGATGAGAACTTGAGATGTAATGGAGTTGACGTGGCGGCGGTGGCGGCTGAGGCGGTGGTGGGTTTTGGTAATAGTTGTTTCTCCTTCTGCTGCTGCTCCATGAAATCCCCATTTCTGAGAAATTTGGGGAAGAAAAAAAGATCAAAGCTTTTGGGTTGTGAAATGTGAGTCAACAAAAATGGTGGGTTTTGGGGAGGCTTGGTCTGGAAACCGCGCGTCTAGACGACAACTGTAGGAAAAAGGAGAAAGGAACAAGATCGCGTTTTGTTCGCGTGAAGAGTCCAATTATTTGGGCTAAATTTTTTTCTTTGTCCGTATGGTGAGTCATTATTTTTAAATTGACCTCTATAAAAAAAAAAAAAAAAGTGTTAATTTTAATTCTGTTGTGAAGTTTGTTATCAATTGTAGTCCAAATTAAAATTTCTGTTAAAATCTCATCCACATGCAGGGGTAAAAAAGTCATTCCATTCTTTTTCCTTTTCTTTTTGGTAATTCCACTTTTTTTATAATCAACAAAAAAAAAAAAAAAAAAAATCTCTCCCCAATCCCTACCCTTGTTAGCCACATCAACAACGACCACCCACCACCTTCCCCCCTCTCTCCCACATAACACTAGCCATCCCGTCCACCACTGTTCTTCTTAAAATGAAACTAAATTTAATGTTTGCATAATAACTTATATTCTAACCTAAACGCGGTGCGGTACTTTGTGATTTTTTAAATCTTGAATTTGAACTTTTGGCTATCTTGAAATGAGAAAGTATAGTAATATGAACCTTGTAATTTTATTATTTATTTATTCTTTTATTGTAGCTCTAAAAGTGTTAAAAATAAAATAAAAAATTATGTCCATATGGCACTTTATGTTTGGTTGATGGAATCAATAAAAACAAAAATAACAATTTTTGTCCTTACAAATGACAGAAGAATGAGGAAAAAATTCAATTTGGACAATGATTGATAACGAATTTCACCACATAATTACAATTTATAACTTTTTCACCACATGAATCTATTTAAAAGTAGGATATCACCACAAGGATCACGAAAAAAATTTGACCAATTATTTGTGTATAAAAACGTTAAGGATACTATTTGCCACGGTTTGGGGTAATTCGAGGTTTATATAGAATTTTAGGTTGCTGACATATTTTTAAATTTTTTAACACTAATTTTGGTTGGTCTATGATTCAACATTTCTGACTTTGATTATTATTTTTTTTTTAAAACCAATGGATTCAATTCTTTCATTCGTAAGGTTGAATTGAATGGATTTGAAGGGATTAATTTCTGAAGGCTTTTCGTTCCATACGTGCGTCATTACGAGAGAGAAGCGTTTTTTTCAAACTTGGAACTTTGAATTAAAAAGAAACAAAAACACTATTAATCAATTAAGCTACAACATATTGCAAAATGATTAATTTAACATAAGCAGTTTCAGCAAACAAAGCAAGTAAATTTGTACATAATACACTTATTATTAGACATAGCAATTTCTTACACGACCCGTTAACACGACACGTAAACGATAAAAAAATAATGAGTTTCGGGTCAACACGATAACTAATCGGGTCATTATCAAGTCACACGATAAGAACCCGTTAATAATGGGTCCTTAACAGGTTTACACGAGAGTGACACGCAGGTAACCTGTTTTAACACGATAAAAAAAAGGTTATTTTGATGATTTTAATTTTTTAAACTACTATAAAATACAATAGATATAGTGGATATGTGTGTATTGTTTATTAATTATTATTCTATATAAATTTAAAAAAATTTAGTTTTATTTATTTATTTATTTGTTTTTATAGTATACTATAGGCAAAGAGTGAGAATAAAAAATTATAAAACACATTAAAAATAAAATATCATGTAATTTAAAAATACCAAACATATTAAAAATTATAATAATTAATTTACAAGTGCAAAAAATGTGAAAAAAATATAAAAATGCTCGTAATCACATCCTCTACGTTTTCAGGATAGGTACATCCTCGTTTGAATTTTTAAAACTATGCAAACCCTCATGAATAATATTTTTAAGGGAGTTCAAAATGAATAAAATTCATAATCATTAATATAAGTTTGAAAAATGTTAAAGCATATATCAATGCTCATGATTGTATCATTTACGCTTAGGCGATGGTTACATTGACACACCCCGACCGAGATCAGGGCGTGTTGGCCGCCACGCAGAGGTGACGTAACCATGTGTACGTGCGGAAGCTAATAAAATAATGAGAAAAAATACGAATAATTAAAAACTAGCATACAAAGTGATAAAAACCAGTGCTAGCATAAGTGAGACGCTAAGTTCAGAGCAATCAGTCTACAGCAGTCCAAAAGAGAAAGATGCGACAACAGTACACCCGAAGGTGACCCTACAATGGTGAGTGTCTGTCAGAAATGCCGGAAAAGCCCTCTGGGAAACCACCGAACCTGCTAGACCACTAGAACCTGGAGGGGCGCAAAACAAAAGCGTGAGTGGGCAAAAACAAAGCTTTTAGAAAACCATTTAATCAAATACATTCTAACCCCTCACCGTAAAACCTGTATACTTCCCAGAAAATAAATATACGTATAGTATATATGCCAAACATGCTCAATAATATGCCATGTCGAAACCTCATAATGATATGCAAGTGCTCAGGTATAATCATATCAATAACATGTAATCTGGCAGCCGGAGTCACCTAACGTGACCTGTACGGCTGCATCTAGAGCTCAAATATCAAACTCAATAACTGAACCTGCCCACGAGTCGGAACCACCTAAAGTGGTCTGTACGACAGGACTGTGCACCTAACTTGGATCCAAGCTGAGCGTGTGGTGCGGGAGGTGAACATCACGTGAAGGACTGTGCCCTACTCTGGGCGGGAGAACTAACACCGGGGTGCAGGTTATGAGCTCTCTAAGTATCTCGAATCGCTACTGAATGTAAACATGAATAACACTTACCTAGCACTTACCTGTGCGTCCACAACACCCAATATGCATATGTATATATATATATATATATATATATGCAACTACTAACGTAACCAACGATGCATAAATAACGATAATGTAATGCATGACATAACTAATAAGCATTTAAATCAATTTCTGGGAAAAATATAGTATATAGGTATATACGGAAAACCAAAAGCCCACTCACTGGTAAGTGGAAGGGTCGTAGCCCCCCTGCCTCGAGTGACCACGCTCGTCCTTGGGATACGTATCACCTATATGCGAAACAACTATAAAAACGTAAGTTTTAAAGCACATAACCAACTTCTCGTAATAACTTCTCATACATTGCTCAAATTGGACAAATGAATATACCAACGTGCTCTACACAACCTCAGGATCACACCCAAATTTTTAGAAAAATTTTCCACCGCCGCACGCGCCGGCCAAGGCACAGCCACACGCGTAGGCACGTGCCTGGCACGCTGACGGCGTCAACTGACGCCGTAAGGAATATTCCGTCAGTTTTGACAGATTCCGTTAACGGCGTTAGGAATATTCCGTCAGACTTGACGGAATATTCCGTCTTCTTCTCCGGCGAACCTCCGGCGCCGGAAAACTGGAAAAACTTCTAACTTCGATTTCTCTCTCGTTTTTCAACCATTTTTCGTGATTTTTGCACCAAAATGACGCCTAAAACTAGGAGAACACAACCATACAACTTTTAAGAGCCAAAAACTACGAGATCTTACCTGTCACCAAACTCCAAATCCGGCCAACTTTGAACACGGCGATCCCGACGTCCCATTTCTTCAAACGAAGCACTCCGAGACTCCTTGGGACACCACCAAGCTACCTACGAGCTTCATTTTCCCCAAAACGTAAGAAAATACGTTTGCATGAATAGTACCTCAAAACTGCCTTCGTGAAATCAACGTGAAAACAGTGATGATCTTACCTGAAAATGGTACAGCTGCAATCCCCTCAACCTCACGAGCTCGACCGTGGTCTTGGTTCCCTCGATCTGTGGGTGTTTAGTATGTTTGTGTGTGTGTCCGTACGTGTTTGAAGGAAGAGGAAGGAATGGGGTTCACGGGAGAGAGACAGGGAAAGGGACAGAGAGACAGTGAGAGTGAGAGTGTGTGTGTGTGTGGCCCAACACGTGCCAACACCACACAAAACACCAATAACGTGAAAGAAACGAACTAGGGGTAAAAATTTCTTTTCACACGTACGTTTTCGATATTTTCGGGACGGGATGTTACAACCTACCCACCTTATTAGAATTTCGTCCCGAAATTCAAAACAACCAAATAATGACCCCTAGTGGTCAAAGAACAACCGAGGGTACAAATCCCTCATCCGATCTTCTGTTTCCCATGTAGCTTCCTTGACTGAATGATTCCTCCACAAAACTTTCACTAAGTTCACCGTCTTGTTCCTCAGAACTTTTTCCTTCCAATCTAGTATTGTCACTGGTTGCTCGCCATAAGTCAAATCTGGATTAATCTCTAACGGTTGAGGAGGTATCACATGAGACGGATCAACAACATAATGTCGGAGCATAGACACGTGAAAAACGTTATGCACTCTAGCCAACTCCGGAGGCAACTCCAACCTGTAAGCTACCTCACCAACTCGCTCCGTGACCACGTATGGTCCGATGTATCTAGGACTCAACTTACCCTTCTTTCCAAACCGTACGACACCTCTCCACGGTGAAAGCTTCAGAAATACCCAATCGCCAACCTCGTACACTCTGTCCGTAGCATGCCGATCTGCTAAATTCTTCTGCCTGTCCTGGGCTGCTTTCAGGTTAGACTTAATTACCTAAACATTCTGAGTAGTTTCCTCAATAATCTCTGGACCCACTAAAACTTTTTCTCCAACCTCTGACCAACACAACGGCGTGCGACAAGATCTACCATACAATGCCTCAAATGGCGCCATGCCGATACTCGAATGAAAGCTGTTGTTGTAGGCAAATTCCATCAAATCCAACCGCTGGTGCCAAACATCACCAAACTGTAACACCGAAGCTCGCAACATATCCTCCAAAGTCTGAATAGTTCTCTCTGACTGTCTGTCCGTCTGTGGATAATACGCCGTACTATATAGTAGTCTTGTGCCCAAAGCTTCCTGAAAAGCTACCCAAAACTTGGATGTAAATCGTGGATTACGATCCGAGACAATACTCACAGGGACACCATGATACTTCA